AGAGTGACGTCTAGGCAGCCCTCTAGAGCCTCCGCCAGTACATGAGGATACAGCTGCCTTCTGTGAAATCAGACCCTCAGTCCATCAAAGTCAGTACTGTCTACTCAGACTGGCAGCACCTCTCCACCGTGTTAGGTTGGGGTTCTTTCACAGTAATAAAATAAAATGGCCGATGTTATAGTGCCCCTGCATGGTGCGGCCTCATTCGGAGTCCTGTGTACAGACCCTGGTCAGCGTATCTCAGAAAGGACACCACAGAGCTGGAGAAAGTACAGAGGAGAGCAACCGAGATGACGAGGGGGTTGGAGCACTTTCCCGGTGAGGAAAGGCTGAAGGGTCAGGGACTTTTCCATTCAGAAAAAAGACAGCTCAGGGGAAGACATGACAGATGCTTATAAAAGTATGCACGGGGTGGAGAGAGTTGACAAAGGGAACTTTTTCCTCCCTCTCCCGAAAGGCTAGAACTCGAGGGCATCCAATGAAGCCGATGGGCAGTAGGTTCAGGGCGGACAAAAGGAAATACTTATTTACACCGCAAGTGATTAAAATGTGGCATTCACTGCCGGGGGATGTAGCGATGGCCACAGGCATAGGCAGGTTTAAAAGGGGATCGGGTAGATTCAAGGAGGAGAGGTCTATCGGTCGCTACTAGCCGTGGTGACTAAAGGGAGCTTCCACTTTCAGAGGCAATCAAGCCTCTTAATCCCAGTGCTAGGAGGTAACATCAGGGGAAGGCCTCGGCCTCTCTGCCCTGTTGCTAGATGTCCAGAGGAACCGGTTAGTCATTGTGTGAGATAGAATGCAGGACTAGACGGACCACTGGTCTGATCCAGCAGGGCTCTTCTGATGTTCTTATGAGGGCCTCAGTCTCTGTGCCCTGCTGTTGGACCTCCAGAAGAACTGGTTGGCTACTCTGTGAGACAGGATGCTGGACTAGATGGACCCCTGGTCTGATCCAGCAGGACTCTTCTTAGGTTCTTATGAAGGCCTCGGCCTCTCTGCCCTGTTGCTAGATGTCCAGAGGAACCGGTTAGTCATTGTGTGAGATAGAATGCTGGACTACACGGACCACTGGTCTGATCCAGCAGGGCTCTTCTGATGTTCTTATGAGGGCCTCAGTCTCTGTGCCCTGCTGTTGGACCTCCAGAAGAACTGGTTGGCTACTCTGTGAGACAGGATGCTGGACTAGATGGACCCCTGGTCTGATCCAGCAGGACTCTTCTTAGGTTCTTATGAAGGCCTCGGCCTCTCTGCCCTGTTGCTAGATGTCCAGAGGAACCGGTTAGTCATTGTGTGAGATAGAATGCTGGACTACACGGACCACTGGTCTGATCCAGCAGGGCTCTTCTGATGTTCTTATGAGGGCCTCAGTCTCTGTGCCCTGCTGTT